GAAAAGGCACTCTGTCTGCAGGCGGACATGACCCTGTGCTTGTCCCCTGCCTGTGCCCCTCATTGGGTCCTCTTGTGCAGTGCCGAACCTTCACATCCGTTCTTAGCAGCCCTGCTCCCAGATGGGGAAGGGTTAGGCTCCTGTAGTGAGAGCAGCAGGCCTGGATCCTGAGGCTATTCAACCAGTAACCTGCCAGACTGTGATGTTTTTGTCTGTGACATGAGGGGACGGGGCACAGCGTACCTCAGATCCCTACCAACAACAAAGAGGACGGTGGCATCATCATGATGACAACAGGTGACAGAGGGCCAGGTACCACCCACACACTGTCCTGCGTGCTTTTTCTCAGAGCCCTGGCTCACTCCGTTCTCAGGCAGGTGTGATACCTGTTTTCATGAAAGAGGCAAAGGAATTTCAGAGAGCCCGGGAACTGAGCGACAGAGCTGGAAAATCAGAGACGGAAGCCAAAACCTATCATGAGCCTCAAAGAGCCCTGGGTGTCTCAACCCTGGGTGAAAAGTCCCATCGCACGCCAGGGCCAGGTCTTGATTCGTGTGAATCATCAGCCGCTTCCTCAGAGGCACGCAGGCTGGCACCAGTCGGTCGGCCAGCACACCGGGTGGTGCGCCCCTCCCAACCTGGTGTGCAGCCCAAGAGAGACCCCTACCGCTCATTGTTCAGAGCCATCCTCGGGGGGTCCAGGTTGGGGTTCTCCATGGACTCCATCTGTGGACACCGCAGGAAGTAGTAGAGCGTGTGGAGGGCGTCGGGGGACCAGGTGACGGGCTGGGGTGGCTGACGGGCCTGGCGGGCGGGGCTGGAGCCAGGACAGAGCGGGTGGCGCCCCTGCATGTGATGCATGGCGCGGGAGACCAGGTCACCTGGCGGGGAGGGCAGAAGGGAGAGACAGAGAAGAAAACGTCTGAGTTCGCTGCCCACATTCCTCCAAGGCTGCTTGTAGCTAATGAGAAACCGCTCCCCTTGCCTGGGCGCCTAATTACTGTTTACCCCGGAGCCAAGAGGCGGGGGAGGTGGAAACTGTCACCCAGACACGCACAAGAGCAAGTAAGTTTTCCTTTCGCTGTGGGTTTTGCCTTAATAGCTGAACTAAAAAGCCCTGGCAGGACCGTCTTATGCTAATGCGGTTTCTTTTTCGACATCCCCACTCCCTCCAACACCCCATGGCTCTCTTTGAGCCAGGGAGTCCCAGCCTCAGACACCCAGCACCAGGGTGTGACACCAGCAGGGAGGTGACGGCCCCGGGTTGTCGTCCTGTGCAACGCCCAGGTCCTTCAGCAGGGAAGGCGCCTCCATCCCCAACACGTCGGGTAACACTGCCATCGTTGCCACCATTGAGTGCTCACTACATGCCGAGTGTTCGGTTTCCTACAAAAGAGCTTTCGTTCGACCCTTATGATGCTGGGGCCAAGTATTATCCCCCAAATACAGATGAAGAAATGGAGGCTTACCTGGTAAACAAACACTTACTGACCCCCTCCAGTCCCCTGGTCACCAGGAGGCCACCGTGTACAGAACTTAACCAGCCAAGGTCCTGTGGCTAGTAGATGGTAGAATCTACACTTGAATGCAGGTCTCTGACTCCAAAGACCATGAGCTGAACTGTGACCCAGACCTGACCCACTGAAGTCTGTGGGGTCCTTGGGTCCCCATATCCTGCGCTGTGTTTCTGCCCAAGTCAAGTCTTTTCAATATCCCTGCTGGCCTGGGACAGGAAATGTCCCATCATTGTGTGAGGCCACAATGCTGAGAAAGGATGGGCCAAACAGCCCCAGGCACCTGCCGGCCCCTCTGTTCCGGGAAAAGTGTCACCCTTCCATTCTCCTCTGGCCTGAGAACTCAAGGGGGGGTGGTGGGACACGACTCCCCTGTGGGCCAGCTTCCCCCCCACCTGTGGCAGTGCCTCTGGACGAGGCCGGCCCTGAGGCGAGAAAAACAAGCAGGTTTTAACCTGGTGAAGAGAAGCATCATTCCATGTTTGGCAGGACCAGTTCATTTAT